TACTGGACGAGGTTCTGCACCAGCTAAAGGGATTTCCTATGACCAAACGTTACATTAATTAACCTTTATAAAGCATGTCATATTAGAAAGTGGAATCAACATATGAAAACACAGCCTGAAGATGTGGTGAGTGAATGCGGCTCCATTTAAGTGATATATTTAAGGGTATATTCAGTGCACAAGTATGATTTTCAAGCTCAATAGAATTGCACCATTTTCCCCAAAAGGACCAAACTGTCGCTTAAAATCACATCAACAGGCCCAAAATGCCCTTGATATATTACCCTGACACCATATCCTGGTGTCATTATGATGTGTGTGTCAGAGAGAAAGAGAGAGGGTGACATGGAAAAGGGATCCCATTTGTTGCGTGCAATTGTGGCCCATATGTTTGCATCCGCTATATTGAGTATTGCTTATCTGTCTGACTTGAATCAGGGCAGAGCAGTCAAACCCTTTAAGTGACAGTGTCCTTCATTACATAACATGATGGCTAAAAAGCCCCCTGCAGTAACACACACACACAGACTGGAGATAAACTGCAAATGCAGGAACACATGCAGATCTATATGCATGGAGTGTGATGCGGATGAAAAACATTGTTGTTTTCAGCTTAAAGAAGAGAAATTTTGGACATTACCAAACCAAGAAGTTTGTGAATATTTGTCTAATAATTGGAGATACAAGGTTTTCCTTTTGACAGCATCATGAGTGCTGGGGCACACAAATGGCCACATACATACATTCACACACACACACACACACACTCTCTCGCATAAATGTACTTGCCCACATTTACACACACACTTTCTTTGAACCATGTGACCTCAGCTGCCATTATGTTGCTCTTTGGCCTCTCACACTTGAAAATTGTATTGCAGTTCATGTCGCCTGCTGGCTATCTTGACCTCGCACTGTGGTGATCTGAACCGTACTCACGCAGCCTAAATGCCACCACTATCATTCTTGTTGTTAATTGAACTATAAATCAAGTGTGTGTGTATGTGTGTGTAAAATCATGAAGGTCATCTGTGTTTGTTTACTCTCTGGGTGTAAAGCCAGCCCCTCTCCGGTTGAGGCCTTTCATTAGACGTGACATGTGTGACCTAAGGCGGCGCTCTCCGTTCCTTTTGTTGGCTGAAGATTAGTGCAACATGCAAACACACTGAACCTGGTTTGGTTGGAAGAAGAGTGGCGGGGTGGGGTCGTGTATTAGAAGGTGTGTGTGCGCAGGAGGAGGGTAATCTGAGAGGAGGATCACTTTGGATTTTAACTTTCAAAGCTGATTCGGAAGAACTGGTGGGATTTCAGAGTGTTAATCATCCTCTGCTCGAAGAAATAGACGGTGGGAAGGAAAGAAAGGAGTTTTAAAAAAAAAGAGCAGGTGCATGGCAGAGCACAGAAGTTGCTTTTTGAGCTTCGCCACATCAATATCCAACTCGAATGTGGGTGGGCGTATGTACATATTTATGTATTTCACCTCATGAAGTGCGTGCAAGTACATGAGGTCTTAGTTGCACGTATACTTTTGGACCAGGGATTTATGTCAGCGGGCTAATAACTAAATGAGCATGCAGGCAGAGCAGTCCAGAAACGGTAAAGCTGTAATCTTGGTGAAATTTGTTTAATCGCAAGGAGGAGCGGTAATCTGTTGAGATGGGCTCACAGAGGGAGGGTGTTTATGCAGCCAGAGTGTTTCTATTTCAGTGAGGTGCTACCCTGCAGGAAATATTAATCCTGGCTCTATGTTATCCGCCGAATGAGTTCTTGTGGCTCAGGTTAATGGGAGACGCACAGGCAGAGCTGCTGGTCGACGGAGGAGTGTGTCCACTTTCTCAATTTGAAAGGCCCAAAGAAACCAGCTAAATAATATGGGAGGGAGGAGCGGAAGAGACAAGAAAGGTGCAATAGTGAGTGAAGAGGGGGGAGGGCTGGGACCTGAAACAGAGGAAGGATTTAAAGAGTAATTTTTAGCAAAATGTAAGTTAATTTCTGTGAATGTACATGTTTGAACTGACTGATGAAGGATTATCATAGATGTATTGGCTAAATAGATAAACATGTACTGTATATTAAGATGGATTCTTATAGTATAGCTATAGAAAATGTGGTGCTTTTGTTCTCTCCTGGCATTTTTAGAGGCAACGGCTATATGAGCTGTAGGTGTATCACAACTAACAAGGTCCGCTCCAGTACATTGTTTGGAGTCACTTTAAATTCAGAATAAGGCAGTAAGTGAAAGGCAGAATGGAGGAGTTGGAAAGATGAAAGTGCGTACTGTCCTTCTTATTGTTTTATTGTGTCATCCCAGTCACCATGTGTGTGAAATCTGGAATTTCCCAATTAATTTTTAACAGTCCAGTGTGTGACATTTAGAAGGATCTATTGGCAGAAACTGAATATAATATTCGTGGGAATGTTTTCATTAGTGTATAATCAGCTGAATATAGGAATTATGTTTTTGTTACGTTAGAATTTATCTACAGACACTGCAGGTCTCCTTCCACGAAGTCCAACTGAAGGGACCAAACACTGGCTGTAGATAGGGCCTTTAGTGGTTTTTTTTTTGTGAATTTTATGGCCAGCGTAGTTTCTCCTTACACTTCACAGTCTGTTCTCATTACCAACTCATCAAATACAGACGGGAGGGGTGTTCAGTTAGTTGCAATCTGCAACTTCACTGCTAGATGCCACTAAATCCTGAACACTGGTCCTTTCAATTATGTCTAAAAGAACTATTATGAGGTCACAATGACCTTTGAGTCAAAAGTGTTGCCAATTTAGTGTCCGACCAACTGTGAAATATGTTCACAATTTCCCCTTCTGTTTCTGAGTTATGCTATTGAATAATGGTCAGAAAGTGTTTTTGGACATAATGATGTCCTGGGAAAAAGAAATCTCATCACTTCATCGTTCCCTTCATGTCCCATTAAGCATCTGTGTGAAATTGTCATAATTACAGCATCAATTCTTGAGTTATGGCCATAAACGTGTTTTGTAAGGTCACCTTTGACCACCATATTCTACTCAGTTCATCTTTGAGTCCAAGTGGATGTTTGAGCCAAATCTGAAGAAATTCCCTTGAGGCGTTCCTGAGACATTGCGTTTACAATAATGGGACGTACATATCAACAGACAACACGGAAACATAATGCCTCTGGCCACAGCTATTGCCGGCACACAGGCATAAGAAAAAGAGAGATGTGAGTGGTTGAAACTGACCCCTGCCTTAGCTTTTTGGGCCCCAGAGGAGAGAGAAAGGGTATGAAAAGAAAGAGGATGGACGATAGCTAGAGGAGGAGGGACAGAGGAGACGTAGAAGGAGGCCAGGGAGGAGGACTTTGAGTAACATAAACATTATAATTTGTGAGAAAGAAAACCCAGCATGAGGGAAACAAGTGGTGCGTGATGAAACAGATTCGTGGAAGAAAATGAGATCAAAAACAAGAAGCTTGGTGAGATAAGAAGAAATAACTCTAGATAGAGAATAAGGAAAGGCAGCCAGCGAGGGTTAGATAGTTTGGGATGAAAGCGGGGAAATTTGAGCCCATGCTGTGCGCTGTTTGCTGTTATGATTTCCTGAGGTGAACAGATTGAACCCCGGACCACATATTGAACCCCACTGCAGCGGGAGTGTGTGTTTACATGTGTGTGTGCATGCTTGAGAGCAAGAGATTAAGTTTACAATAGAGGGAGTATAAATGCTAAATGTTTTTTTTTTTTTCGGCACAAGGTTGTGAGTTCATTGAAGTGGAAAATAATCTTTTTGTCAGCTAATGGAGACAAAATGTATTGACAGCTCAGTCCATTAATTATTTGTTTCTCAATCCAAAAGTGTAAGACGTGATTTGACCCGTGCTCACTGGAAAAACTTGTGAGACAAACTTGAAACAGGAAAACGGGATTCTTGCACAAAGATGATCTTCCTTCGAGAGTGCTTTACACTTACTGTAACACCTGCTGCAGCAAAAACTCGATTTTTCTTTTTCAGTTTTTTTGTTTATTTCAAATATAAGTCATGCTTACAAGCAAAGCAAATGGTACAGAAGGGATGAAATACAAAAGCATATGAAAAAGAAAAGAAAATGGAAAATGGAGAGAAACAAGCACAAAGAAATGAAAATGAAGAACAATGCAAAATTAAAAAACATTAAAAAATATGAGCAAAATCAAAATAAGGGTGTTATATATGTGATGTAGGGGTGTATAGACATATGAGCGGGTACCATACAGGTATGGTCTCATCCACAACATGCACACACACACACTGGATCAGTGACTCAGACATGGCTTGTAAGAGCACAAACCGTTACACACTTATCTTAAATTACCATGTTAAGATCAACCAACTTTCTCTGTCAGTTATTCAGTCCTCCTTCTCTCCGACACAAAGTCGACAAACATTCCAGTTACACCTCCAGGACAAAGTGATCAACTTCTGCTCTAAAAGGTTTTGAGAGGTTGGGATGAGCTCATCACACTTGGTTACTTGTTGTTAGAAAAGGCTTAGAGGTTAATTCGCCCACGTGCAAGCAAACATACACACATGCCACACGTTAGTAGGCCGACAGACACACATTCAAAGTTGGAAGTTGTAAATTCCAAGCTGGCAGGTTGTGTGTTCACATGTTGATGAAACACGAAACTGCATCTTGAAAATGTTCTACTCTGTGTTCATAAATTTTGTTCTGCTGCTGTGAAGTCAGAATTTCCAACTTTCCAACATCCCTGCAACGCATCAGAAAACACATGCATGCAAATACACACATACATGCATTCACAAACACACAAACTTTTATCCACCTCTGCTTAAATCTATTATCTACATGAAACGTTGTTGACAGTACAGACCGCCTCTACACACACACACACACA